TTTTATACCTGATTGTGGACTCGTGCTCTTAATCAATTTTAAAATTCTCAATAGATTCTAAAATATATTATTATCATCATTAACCAGATTGAATTCGATTGTTCAAATCTAATTTKAAATTTTTAAATTACAAATGAATACTATATGACAATGTTATTACATTATGTACCACTGAACCCATTACTGATCGAAAACAAAGTACAAACATACATGCAATTATTGTAGTAAAKTACAAAGATACGATTTGAGTAAAATATACGTTATTTTTGTTTTGAAAATAAATATTTTAACTGTGGTTCATGGGGTCACACTCTATTTACTGTTCTGCGTTTATCTGTTATAGTAGTACTATATGAACTTACTATTATACGTATGTACAACAGAAATTTAAAAAAAAACCTAAAGAAATAGTTTTTTTCAAAGAACTACCTTGTGTACCTTTGCAGCAACAATTAACCAAAAAAAAAGAATAATTTTTTTCGGAGCATACGCCCTGATATAGTAGCCTGTTCGGAATAGTAAATAATATAGTCACTGCAGGTTACTGCAGTGGTTCGTGGAAGCTGTTGCAGTGACGAGATTGGTTCGAGTTACAATAAAATCGAGTAATTTGTGCACAGCTTTGCGGTTATATTGCACTCTGTCGAATTAGGAATCCGGTCCGTGCGTAAAAGTCACAGTCCWGTCTTGGACTATTTATTATTATTATTATTATTCCTCAGACACCATAAAATAAAATAATCATATACCTACAGGCAGCAGCACAACAGCTGTCAACGACCCGCAATGTACGTCGTCGCAGTGTGCGTATTATTATTATTATTATTATCATCATTAGCCATGATTATACAAGGTTTATCTTTATACGAGTGTAATGCTTGACAGTTTKGCGGTGCTACCTATTACGCCTAGTGAAAGTGTTGGGCAAACATTACATATGGTTAGAATTTATCGGAAAAATATTGTAATATTATTTATAGTTTAAAATTCATGAATTTTGATAAAATATGACACGAAATCGTTCGAATTATTCGATAGCTATCGCCTATAATACGTATGATAATAAATAGACACGTCAAAAAAATATTTTATTTAATATTTGAAAATATTTTTTATAATCAATTCAATTAGAACTAAACAAAGTTAATTATGACGGAGTACAATTTAATTAGGTTTTGCCATGCTTGTTTTAACGTGAATCGTCCCGGTGTGATCCATAAAAATGGTATGATCCATAAATGTGTCATGAAAGACTCAAACTAAAAACGATTTTTTTTTTATTGCTTAGCCAATGTGCACTTTTCAGAAGACGGAAAGATAAGTTTAATTAGTCTATATTACACCTTTACACCTCAAATATTTGTTCATGTGATTTTAATTTTTTAAATTTATAATAATAAAATATTATATCTCATATTCTTATTGTGCCCAAGCCCCAAGGGTACAGATTGTATATTTCTTGTTAAAAAAAAAAAATTTATAATATTATTTTCAATAACTTTGTCGGCTTAATTTTTGTATATTGTTTATAGACTTATTGGCATTTAAATATTTAATATAAGAATATCGATTAGAAATATTTGTAACAATTTTAATTTATGTTAAAACCTCTGGAAAAAAAAATATATATATAGGACAAGTTAAGTTTAACAAAAAAATTACGGACAATGATGGGCACTACCAAAAATATCAGTTTACAATTTATAACACTGCAAAYGAATTTGAACTATTAAAAACATATAAACATTTGAAAACAGGACACACATGGCATAGTTTGATGTATTTAATCAACATAATACGAGTACATTGATGTGCAAATGCTAAGTCATCATGACATTTCTTAACTACCTTGAGAGTTGATGAAGATATTATCAGACGTATTAAATTTTTTTCACCCCATGGTTCCCCTGGGTAAGTTAACCTAACCTAACCTTTGGGCGTTCACAATATTTTAATAGCTCTCAAATTATTATCAAAATAAGTGAAATAACACACAGATAGAGTATAGCTGGACGAAAAAAAAAACAATGACTATTTAGTACTAAAAATAAAACTTCAAAAGGTCGCGTGATGTGTTTCGTTATCGTTTTCATGATGATTACAAAATAATGTTTATAATAATAAATTAATAGTTACACAAGCAGGCCTACATGGCTGTATGACATAAGCGCCAAAGGTACAAAAATGACCTTTCATTTGCGCCAAAATCTGTAGAACATAAGCGCCAATCTAATATTGTATACC